AATTTGTTAGGATACAGCATTCGCTGGAAACCCTGCAAATTGTCAATACCCTAATAAACAACTGGATCCTAAATGGGTGCAAAACAGACCATTGGTCTCACAGCTTTTTGATTGCCATATCAAAACATCAAAGAGGTCAAATTCACTCTAATAGTTTGGGCAAATCTGTACATCAATAACACGTATCAACCCCACAATCTCCAATACTAGTGTCAACATTAGAATATCAATACTACGTTCCCAATGTGTCCTTTCGATAACAAAGATTATCTGCTGAATCAATACTGAACAAGCATGCGTACTTGAACAGGGAATTTAGAGAGCCTTGTCAATACAAAAATCAAGACCTTTGAAAGGACTCGATTATCTTGGATTTCCTTTGCAATCTACTCACTCCCTTCACACTTGCAGATTCTAATCAGGATCTTTGGGGAATGGGACCAGGTGATGAGCCTTCCCAATAGGAGAATTAAAGATGTTTACATTGCAGCCAGTGCTAATACTGTCAACAGTAGAGGCGGTGGGGGTTGAAAAGGGAAATTGCTTCGTACTAACATTCCTCAGTCAAGCTCAGAATCCTGGACATCCATTCATGAGATTTTATACCTCTTGTTAATAAGTACAGTGACTGGCAACAAGGGCTAGTTTAACTGGATTCCTTAATAAGAAATAAGAGTTGCCCAAATTGAGGACTCTCTCCAATACTTAGAAACAACTAGACAACCAACACACAGGAATTCTGCTCTGACATAATCTACTGCCCTGAGCACAGATACTAGTTAACAGGAAGTCTATTTGAATCTGGTTAAGAAAGAGCTCAAATTAAACCCTAACGTACGTCTGTGTTAACGTAACTTGGCTTGGTGGCGAGAAGACCCAGAAAATCCTAGGTTCGACCATTGGTCATCCAGAGTCAGCTGAGCTACCTCTTTTTTTCTTTCTAACCCCATCACCACTGCCAAATACCCTGTTGACATTCACTTCTGTATGGATTCACACAGGAAGAATAGTCACTTGAGAGCGTGCTGGAGATGATCAGTCTGCTTCACAAGTCAGTGCCTTCAGGGGAGGGGGTGAGAATCGAATCCAAAAATATATTGCACTCAATTGCATACATTTTGTAAGAAAAACGGAAACCAAACAAGCTTCCCTCACACTCAAGACACGAATGTTGTAATACGATCACACACTTTGATACAATAGGCTTTGAAGGAAATTACTGAGACACAGGGTGCTTCATATCAGTCTTCTAGCCACTAATATGAACTTCATATTCTAGGGTGGGAGGTGATGGAAGGTTCAAATCTAAGTAGCCCAGCCAAGCGATCAGAATCCTGGCTGATTTACTCATCCCAAACCCAAATTCAGATGGTGAATTACAGCACCAAACTGTTATGCTGGCTGCGATCAGCTAATCTGGGAACATCACAGCGTAATGGCTCGGCCACTCAGTAAATAACCGAGTGAGCTATTGGGAAAGACTTTAGTAGCGCGTGCAAAATAATCATATAAACGAAAGGTCATACCCACTAAGACAACATGTGGCTCATTCAGACACTGAGTATTTTGACGGCATTTTTAAAAACTTCATAATCTCCCAACTTCCAGCATACCCATTTTTACTCTGAGAAACACCGGTCTCCTGACAACAAGTTACCTTAGACTGTGTTCTTTATCTGTTTATGAAAGAAGACTCTGCAACACTCATTTCACATACAGATTGTGGAAAAGTTCGTGTTTGGCTTTCTGCCCATGTGTAGGTCAGGAGAATGCAAACAAAGCAAGTATGGATTAACCTGCCTGGAACTGATGTGTTCAGTATTAAGTCGCAAAATTAGTCATGTGTCATTTAAATAATTGTTATGAAAGAAACAAGAAAAAAAACAGATTTTGTAAATTGGAAATCAGAAATGAACAAAGCTGGAAACACACAACCAATCGATCAGTGTCTGAACAAGGTCAACATTTCTCCATTAGAATGTTCTCTTTCAGGTGCTGACTGACCTACATATTTTCAGCATACTCTGGTTTTATTCACTGTTTTGCCAAGATGGAGCAAAGTAGAAAGAAGGGGATTAGAATGCGGTGAGGAGGGCTTATTTGAGTAATTAAGACCTTTCCTTCCCCCCACCCTCCCGAGTCTTTATACATTTGTGGCTGTTGACAACTTTTGTGGCATGGATGTCAGAACAAGTCTGCATTGAAGAATGCAATGCAACACTATGTCTGACTGCATTGCACTGTGCATTGCGTTGGAAGCTGCGATCAGCAGTGCTGAGCTGTTCAGCTGCCTGGGCAAAAATCAGTCAAACTGTTTTAAAAGGGATTGAGAAGGATTCAGCCAAAGATTTTCAAAGTTTTACAGGTTTGTTTTCACTGCCTGATAATCATAATTAAAAGTAAATGAACTGTTAAAGGACAAATCTTTCCATCAAGATGAATAGGAACTCTGATGGCAATCTTCCTCTTAAAAGGGGGGGGTCCAGATGGTGAACATCCCTTTCTAAGTAATTTCCACAGACTACAGTTTAGCAATCACATTCTGGGATATACTCTTTGGTGCACAGAATGGAGTGTGTGTGTTGAGGGCAATGTGGAATAGTATGAGGTAGGCAGTTCTCTTATCTGCAGAAACTGTATGTAATGAACCTTCAGCAACTCTGTGAGCTGAGTCCCAGTCAATATTAATCCCAACATCTGGATCCCTGCCCCTTCTTCAGCGATCAATTTCAGGTCAGTTTCATTCATCAACCCATCAGAGCAGCCATTCCTGCGTACTTAGACTGATTTACCGGCAGAGCCCATCGGTAATTACGCTAATGTAATAAAACAGAATAAACAATTTAGAACGACAACTAATCAGAGTAAAAACAATCGCAGATCTTTCAGAAAAAGCGACAATGCACGTTTTAAAATAGAACAATTCTTTCATTTGTAAGCGGCTTGGTGGCAAACTATAAATTTCCGTCAGCTCCGATCTCACAGTGTGTTTCGCATCCTTCTGTTCACAGTAAATGGAAGACAAATTATTTTTTACTAGTTTTCTCCAAGAATGCTCAAGTCTGCAATTTAAAATTAAACGTCGGTGGGAAAAGGGGAAATATTGCATTTTTGCCTTACAACCTCACTGATATTTCACCACGAACCTCCATCACTGAGGAAGTGTACGCCTGATAATCAATTATTGCTTTTCTTGAACAAACCATTTACTTCCTAACGAAAGACGGGCTCCGACGTCAAAGTGGAAAGGTCTTCATCTGAATTACCAAATTTTACTGAGGGACCATGTGCGTAAACTCGCAGGTCTTTGTTGATGTGCTTTTCAGATTGTACGGTCTTTCCAAGCAGAGGAGATGCTGCAATGCCCTGGACTGCCAGTGCCATGGAATCCACACACACTTATACCGTGAGGCTGATTCTATAGCACTGGCAAAAGGACACAAGTAAACGTGTATCTGCAAGGCAGCGGGTTTTGCATCTCGCGATCCCTATGCTGGTTCCCATGTGTGGTGGGGAAGGTCAGTACAGGGCAGCAATGAGACACGTGGCTGAAAACACATGGGTGGGCTCAGCACACAGTCTGCCCCACCTCTTCTTCTTGCCCCCCCCACCACCTCCCGCAGCTGTCTGTACAATGGCATCGAGTATCGCAAGCATTTACACTGCGGTGGCCAGATGTGCTGAGAGAGAGAAAAAATATCACCTGGAGGCCACCAGAGTCAGGGTTTAGTCAGCACATTCAACCTTGAACCTCAGTGATTTAAGCTTGAAGCTAACTTGCAGATCTGGGTTGACAGTGTGTGATGAGGCCACTGTTCCATTTTGCACAGTTCTCCCTCTGTGATGTGATGGGAGAGAGCTGTCTAGCGCCCACGGTTCCCATTCAGAATGTTACCTTAGTGGAACTTCACTGGGGTCATTCTGCGATAGGCTGTAAAACATGTGCCCTAACCTTGCTTTCAAACCGTTAAAGACAGAAAAATATCAGGAACTTCATAAATAAAATCAGGATGAAATGGTTCCATTGAATACAATCCAATCATACTGCACATATATTGCAGAACTGCTTCCTTTAGTGGCCCTGCAATACAGGCCTCCAGTGCTGCAGAAACATCCCATTTATACTGCGCAGCATCACATTAACAATGGTCAGTTGGTCTGAAGGCAACTGTGCTGGGCACAGGCTCAAACAGCGACGAAGGCACAGGGCAGGGAGCTTCCCCAACAGGTCACAGTGAAGAATACATGTTTGAGCTCTTGATCTCCTAGAGGTTTCTCTGGCATCTGTGGAACCGACCATTCCTCAGGATGCGGGGGTGGGGGCAGAAGTACAAAAGCAACCGTTTATCTGCAAGGCAGCGGGTTTTGAACCTCGTCATTCCTGTGCTCATTCCCATGTGTAGAGAAGGTCAGCACAGGGCAGCAGTGACACACATGGCTGAAAACATTATGGGTGGGCATTGGAGATGAAATAAGAGGCATAACCCTCATTTATACACAGGACGTCTTCCCGACGTGAAAGGCGCCATACAAGTCTAATTTTGTTGTTGTTGTTGTTATACTAGGTGCTCTGCTCGCCTACTATTTCACTTCAGAACCTCTGAGTGTGTGATTCAGCTTTGAACTCCTTCCCTCCAATGCCAATTCACACTTGGTTTAACCTGGCTTGCTGGATGTGCATGCGTACACATGTTTATGTGTACGCATGAGCACTTGCTAGCTCGACATCAACACATACTTTTTTGCATTGAAAAACAACCATAAAACACTAAAGAGAAAACAAGATGAAATCGGTGAAACCAAAGTGTCTTCCACAAAATGTTCATTTTATCTCGATGCAACATCTGACTTATGGCTCTTAACGTAAGAGCAAACAAGAGCATGGGGGTATACTGTAGCATTGCAATCAATGTCTAAACTCTCTGATTTCTCTCACTTGCAATAGTCTCAGACTTTAGAAACTCTCGAAGAATAACGCCAAGGAAGTATTTTCAACATACCTGATCATTTATCTGGGATGCAACGAGGTTGTGCTGATCATAGCTCCGTCCGTACCTGATGTATTTGAGCCAACTCCCTATATCAGGCTGACTGGCATCGATGCAGAACTTCACATTGCCTAACTCGTCCAAGACCTGGAAGAAAAATGTTGAGATAAAATTAATACAGACTGATTCAAATGCAACCAGAAGTAAACTATGTACCTCCCACAGAGCTCCCACTGAAGGTGGCCTCAACATACATACATGTATGCCAAACGTATGCATGTCTCTATGTTTGAGGTTAACTCAGGTTAAATATATATGTAATTCCAATAATTGACGATCTATTGGAACGACAGACACATAAAGCATTAAGTCGACATTTCCTGACATTTAAAGGGGAGGGGAAGAACACTCGTAATTCATCGCTTTTCCTTGTGGGGTGTGTGTGAGGAATTATAACCCTGACTTTTATTTTGTTGGGGTCGTGACCCCCCACTCCCACCACAATCCCCATCAATGGCTTATCTGTACAGATCTCAGTGGCTCAGCTAATTCAGTACCATATGGCTGCTGTGCAAAGCTCAAAAGATTCCCTCAGAAATAAACCTCTATTGAAAATTTGTACCTATTTTTTTTCCAGCCGAGAAAACATTCACTGAAAGCTAAATCTCTAAATTCCTGCACATATTTATCCTACAGTTGGTGGGAGTAAGGCTCCAGACACAATAATTTAACATACATGCAGAGTGGTGGCGTGTACCTATACATGTGCACGCACGCACATGCACACACATAAACTAGCTCAACAACTTGTACATGTAACACTGCAGATCCTGACATGGAATTGTTTCCAGGTGATGAGGCCACTGATAAAATGTTTGAAATAATAAACTATTCAGCTGAATGATGCTGGTACTTTTTAAGAACAAGCATTTAGATAAACCAACAGACACAATTGTAAATTTAAAAATAAAAAAATGGAAAATTGTTTAACTCAAATCAAAATTGATCTTCCTACAGCTGATAACGAAGATACTCTACCCAACACTTGAATACACACACTTTACATATATATGCATTACTTTTACAAAATATAAAGGTACATTTAATATTAATATTAACTGTAACAAGGAAAGTGCCATTCATTCCATCAAGTCCAGTCCTTCAACAATCTCTGTACAGCTGAAATCTACCAAGGACTCCACTCATTTGATTTTTGTAGAAATCTCTATTTGATCTCTCAGTTGGAGATCAATTAGAGCTCAGTTATACGTCTCCAGACTTGCACCTTCAACGCTGCTCACTGCTACCTCTGTTCCCAGCAGTATCATAGTTCGTATCTCTCTCTGGCCATTAATACCCCCATAAAATCAACGCCTTTCCTCAACAGATAATAATAATAATCCTTGCATTTGATATAGTGCCTTATCACATCTTCGAGACGTCTCAAAGCGCTTCACAGAATATACTGTAAAATTAATTGACCGTTTATTTTGTGGGCGAAACACAGCAGCTAATTGTGCACAGTAGTGTCCCACAAATAGTCGTGGATTGAGTGATCAAATTAATATCCTTATTAATTTTTCAACCGTTTCTTCTTAATAATTGTCATTGCCTCTGGACTAACTGCTTTCTTATCCATGAGCCTGTTCCTCACATCCACACATCATGTGGATCTTAAAAAGAGTTAATTCTGATTTGTAGATACACGTTTACACCTTTGTAAATAAGTAGAAAATTGTATATATAACATACGTACATCCAATTCAGAAATTTTGGTTAAACATATTTGCTGTAGTGTAACCAAATGCTCCAACATGCATTTGAAAAGGTACGAAAAACTCAGCAAAATAATTGTACTGTATATAACAACGAAAAACAGCTTGCAGAGTTTAATCTGCACAATTGGCTTGAGGTGAAGTACTGTAAATATTCAGAGGAGGTACGTGTAAACATTGAAAGCTGTGTGGTTTACTGAGCTGTGAAAATGGTTCTCGAACCATTTGAACCTTATAAAAATTCTTGGGAGGAGCAAAACATGATGCCAGTAGTTTAAACACGTCTTTGTGTTTAATGAAGGTGTAAGATAGAGGGAAAGGCAAGGCATGCCAAAGGTGTTGTTTCCTTAAATGTTTTGTAGCAAACTGGAATGTATTTTCTTGACATATACCTTTCTGAATCAGCCCCTCCAATTAACAATGAACAGGGGCAAAACAACCCTTGAACAAGGTAGAATAATCAGTACCTACCAACACAGAACGCCAATTGACACTGATAATGGATCATTCTGGCCCCTATATCAATAGCTGAATATTACCAACACAGCCAGTAAATTAATTTAAGGCAAAACAAAACAACTATTATTTCCTTTGAGTGGATTTGCATTCCATTCAAGGAACTGGCTTTATCTTTTAAACTTTTGAAGGTTACAAGCCTTGGCCTCTGTTGACTTAACCCCAAAGCACTATAACATGCAAATCACACAACTTTTATAGGAACTGGTTCAGATCATTAACTTGCAATAACTTTCAGGTACACACACACACACACATTCACTACTGTATTGTAAGGTGCTGCATACGAGTGTTGTCTGGGTTCTTTTGCAAAAACATTTCTACCATAACTGTACAAAACAGGTATAACCGAGTGAAATCCATCGTTAAAATGTGAGCCTTTTTTAAAAAAAAACACGCACGGAAATTGGGCAGTGAATTAGCTCTAATTTATGAAATAATTCGCAAGCAATGGAAATGTTTAAACGTATAACATCTTTAAAAATTACAGACTGTATGTGCGAGGCAGGCGGTCGGGCTATTGAAATGCCTTTAACTCCACGACCATCGCTTAATTTAAAACGCAAGCGATCTTTTCAAACAGTGTCAAACGTGGCGTTATTATTAATATGTAATATGTATAGATATATATATATGTGTGTGTGCATAAAAGAAATCGAAATGCTTGGCCAGAGTCGCTTGGTACGAGTTTGTTGACGGAGTGTAACTTTCTGCTTTCTAATAAGAATTTGCAAAAAAAAATTAGTATGCAAACAGAAATAAACCTCCCTCCTTATTATTCTGTGCTATTAATAATTGAGTGTCACTGCGGCTCATGGCAAGAAGTGAGGACAAGTGCAAATGTGTTGGCTTATGAGAGACCAGAGTTTAAAAACTTATCAGGTTCAACTCCAGCCAACTGGAACTTTTACACACCACTCGGGATAAGGGAATTAATTAATCCGCTGTATGTAGGAATTTTTTTTAAAAAAAAGAAAAGGTGATGCGGGGTTTGCAGGTACTGATTTTAAATGACTCTCTTTCGCTTGAAGCTGGTTTTAGAAGCAGTGGGAGAGAGAGAGAGAGAGAGAGAACACACACCCACAGTAGACACACAGACAGAACAAGTCACTCACTGACTTCTCAGCAAAACACGAAATGAAACGCTTTGCTTATACAGACAGACAGACACAGACAGACAGACACAGACAGACCAGACCTTGTGAAAAGGTATTGTGCCGAATTCTCGCTTTCTCGCCCCCAAATCGCCATCGTACCTTGAATTGTCCAGATTTGGGAGACAGATACCCACCCGAGAGAGCGGAGAGCAGAGAGAGCGTTTTATACACACACTTTGTTTTTTTTTAAAATGAAAAACTATATATATATATATATCTATGTTTTGCGAATCGTTCGGGCCATCAGCGAACAGATATGTTATATAATACAGGACACATCTATTGGTTAGTCAGTCTCCCGATCCGAGTGGAACATTTTCAGGGGATTACTGCACTCTTTTCAATCCACCCTCTTTCTCTTTCTCCTTCTCCCTCTCTCTCACACACTCTCACCCCTTCTTTTGCGTGAAGGTTTCACGGCGACAGGTGTTGGGAGTAAGAAAGACGGAGGGAGGGAGAAAGAGAAGAGTGTCGAAGTATATATTCGTGAATGCAAACACCAACGCAAGTAAAGTTTTACCCACACACACACACACCCCTAACACACACAGCCCCACAAGATAAAGCTCTGATGAAAATAACTTCCAAAAAAAAAACACAAGTTGCCATTCCCGTCCCGATTTGCGATCGAGAAAAAGAAAATTTGAACCAATGTAACTTTGTTTTGGGGAAAAAAAACAAGTTAAGAAGAGATAGAGAGAGAGATGGTGGGGGGGAGAGAGAGAGAGAGAGAGAGAGAGAAAGGCAATGCTAACAAAGCCTGCGAGTGGCTTCTATATAAATTACTGGTGTGGAAAGAGGCAAATCAAACTTTAATAAGGGAGAGAGAAAGAAACTCGCTCCACGCGATCAGCCCAAAGTTTCTTGCAAAACGGGACTCTCGCAACGTATCGTGTGTTGTGTTGTATGTGTGTTGTGTGTGTGTGTGTCTGTGTTGTGTGTGTGTGTGTGTAGTCGTTGTAAACTGGGAGGTGGGAGTGTTATTAAAGGAGCCAGACGGTCGCTTGCTTACCTTAGTAGTTGTCAACACGTAAAGCTGGGTTTAAAAAAAAAGAGGGAGCATTTACTCTGCAAACTGCCGTGTGTGTGTGTGGGGTTTTTTTTTTTGGAGGGGGGGGGGGGGCAAAAAACAAAATCCCTTTTTAGTGGTCAGGACTCCTGCTGATTCCGGCCCAGGTCACAAGCTTCTCTCCATTTGCTCTTGAATCCTTCACGGCTGGGATTGACTGAACTACCCCCCACCCCCCCCTCCCCAACCCTCTGTTCTGTTCCTCTGAGTGCTACTTACTTGTCGCGTTTTTTTTGTCTCTTCCCTATGCAAACATCTCGGTCAAGGCCATCGGGTTACAGGGTGTGTGTGTGTGTGGGTGTGTGGGGAGGGGTGGGGAGAGAGGGGGGAGTATTAACTCGCTCTGGTGGTCGAGAATCGTGTCTCTAATAGATTGCAACAGTTGCAACCAAAAAAAACTCTCAAAACGGACCAAGGGGGGAAAAAAAGGGTTTGGAATATATGGGGGGGGGGGGTGTGTGGGGGGGGGGGGAAGAGTGTGTGTGTGGGGGGGGGGGGAAGTGAGAGTGAGTGTGTGTGTTGCTCTGAGCGGCTCTCGGATGAGCTCTCCTCGAATCCAGGGCTCTTTCTAAAACGCTTTCTTTTTTTTCTCTCTCTCCTCTCTTCCTTGTGGTGAGCTGACAGCCGCCC